AAGAAGTTCCCTGGTGAAGAAAGCGTGGAATGCAAGAAAAGAGTAACCCATTGATCATGGGCTGGTGTAGCAAATTTCCAACGTATCAAATACTCTCTGTACCTTTATACGGGGATCAAGGACTTGATCAAACAAATCCCATTTCACCTGCGAGATGGGAACTATGTGAATATCAGACTGGACTGGAGAGGTTCGGAGAGGATGGGTAGAAGGGTCCTTATAAGCTGTAAGCAAATTCACATTAAACACTGGGTGTAGTCTTGGATACTGCTTGGCAATATCCAAACAAACCACGTTCTCACCAACCATCTCAATTACCTTAAACGGTCCTAAATGGCGAAAATCGGTCTTCTGGTCTGGATGTTTCGCCGAGAAAGCAAAACTTGGTCTCCAGGAGAAAAAATTGTAGCAACTTGTCTGGATCGATTATAATAGTAAGCCTGCCGCTCCTTTGCCTTCTGTAGTGAAAGAGAAGCCTTGTCTTTAATATCCTGTAAATCTTAAATTAAACGGTTAGCACACGTCCTTCTTGAAGCCGTTGTTAGAGTGTTAAAACGGGGATGAAAACCATGGATAAAGAAAAAAAAGGTGAGACGCCTGAGGAAGTAGAATGAAGATTATTGATAGAAAACTCTGCGACATCTAACTTGGTAGACCAATCCTTTTGATTATAATCAACAAAATGTCATAAATAATCCTCTGATACTTGATTCATCCTTTCCGTTTGCCCATCTGTTTGGGGATGGAAAGCCGTAGATAAAGCTGATTTTATATTAAGGAGCTTCATTAGACTCTGCCAGAAATCACTAGTCATAGTGGTTCCCCGGTCTGAAATAATTCTATCCGGTAAGCCATGCAACCTAAAAATTTCTCGGCGAAAAACAACTGCCAAATCCTGCGCAGTGATGGTTTCCTTAGTGGGTATAAAGTGAGCTGCTTTGCTGAGTAAATCAATAACAACCAGAATGGAGTCAAATCCTTGTGAAATAGGAATTTTAGTGATAAAATTCATGCCTATTACACTCCAAGGACGGGATGGTATAGGTAATGGTTGTAAAGTGCCGATAGGGGCTGTCGCAAAAAGCGAACTTGTTGACACGAATCACAAGAACCCACAAAAGAAATAACATCCTTTCTTATTGAGGGCCAATCAAAAGTTCATAACAATAAAGAAAGAGTACGCGCAATTCCTGGATGACCTACTAAGGTATCCTCGTGATAAGTATGAATAACCTCTTCACGTAGCTCCATAGGAACAAATACTCGATGTCGAAACCAGTACAAGTCCTCTTGGAAATGATAATCTTCCTTTTCCTCCTCTGTCAGGGAGGTATACAAGGTTATCAATTTCCTTTTAAAATCGAGGGATAAAGGTTGGAAGTATATGTCATGAGACACGCGCGCATGAGCCTGAGATTTGATGGAATTCAATTGAAAACAAGGAACAAGAGAGTTAGGAAAATTTGTTTTCTCCGGCGATTGGAAATCCGGTCGACAACTGGGTCCATCCGCTGGATTAGAAGGGCCTGAAACATGAAAGAGTTTAAAATTGAATCCATCCAAAAATGCCGCCCAACAAGCTTGCTTGGGGGAGAGGATCTTAGAAGTCATGAAGTGCTTTAGATTTGCATGGTCAGAAAAAACCAAAACTGCTTTAGATGTGCCCGCCAACCAAGCCCGCCACTCGTCAAAAGCAGAAACAACCACATATAATTCTAGATCAAAGATAGGCCAAGCCTTCTGCTGGTCAGTGAGTTTTCAAGAGAAAAAACTAACAGGATGTAGTCGTCCTGAACTATCAGGTTGACTTAAAACACCCGTGA